TCAAATCATTGCATTACCCACAGTTGACAGAGGACAGAGCTGAGGCCAAAATCCTCACCCCACCCTGCATTATAAGGATGTCCAATAGGTCTTGGTCTTCTTTCCCTTGGGATGTACAGGATTAATACTCTGGTATCCGCCTGCCAAGGGGGGAAGGGTGTCTTCTCCTGGCAGCCCAGCAGAGGGCGCTACAGAGACAGCATCTTGCTTGGTGGTCTGGCTCTGCCATTCTCGACTAAACTCCAAGTGAGGTAGGGCACCAGGACATTCTGTGGGTCTGGGCAGCGTGTGTGACTCCAGTGTCCTATTTCTGCCCCCCTTTGCCCTGTGCTCAGTCTCCTGGATGTTTCCTTCTCTCAGCTCAGGTAGCCGTTTACTCACATCTCACCTACCCCCAGGCCACACGATCTGCATCTGTCTTCCCCACTTGACAAGGGGCTCCTGGCCAGGTCCCAGTGCCTTTACAGCTCTGAGACCTTCCCTTCCACGGGTACAGATGACTGGGTTAACTTCAAGTGGGGAACTGGGTGCCTTGTCATTGGAGTGGGAGCACTGGGAAATGGTAAGGGAAGGGCAGCTATGAGAAAAAACTGTCACTCCAGCAAGCGTTTACTTATAACTACCCTGTTTTTAGTTTCTGTCTAGTGGGCTGGTGTAGATAGGTACAAAAATTACTGTAATAATTACCTATGTATGCACACACACACACATATATACTTATGAGATGAATATAGGAATACATATAGGTATATATAATTCTGAATGAATGACTGTAGTTAGAATTATATAATAAATAGTTACTTATTCAGTTACCCTGTAGTCAGTAAAGCTTAAATTTCAAGGCCTTCCTCTTACACAGGACTCTCTCTGGACCCTGGATTTTGTATTCTTTAAGAGCCACACCTTCTCCCCCACACCCCAACTGCATACAAGTCAGTTCCACACAACCTGATTCCTTGTTGCATTCGGTGTCCATTAACTGACCCCTAATACGTGCTCAGCACTGTGCTCGCACCAGGAACAGAGCAGTAGGAGAGCCTTCCCATGGCTGTCTTCTCAATACGGTGGGAAGACAGGCAGTCAGCAGGTGGTCACAGTGAAGCTGAAGCGTAATAAGTGCTGGCTGGGGAAGTGGCATACAGAGGCCTATGGTAGACAGTTACCTTTTCTTGTTGGCTGTACCCAAATTCCTTCCAAAGTTCTGTTTTTTGCCCCCACACTGTACATCTTGGTGGGAGTCAGGGCATGCTTGATACCACAGGGGCCCAAGAAAGCATGACCCTTGCTCTGCTAAAGGAAACCGGGGCAGCAAGGCAGAGACACATGATCCAGCTGTCACCTGTGGGCTTCTGCCCGGGGCGCTGAACCAGGACAGTGTCACTGGGGAATTCATTCAGATACTGACAGGGGAGGCCCCAGGGTTTGATGGGGGCTGCAGCTGTCCTAGGCAGGCTACTGCTGTGGTTCAGGCTACCCAGCCTCCCTTACTTTGAAGCCTGGTTCTCTGGGCTTCCTATGGACCAGTAAATTAAGTGGAGTTCCAATAAATTCCCTTTTTACTTAGTTTGTCCAGAAGGGTTTCTCTTCTTTGCAACCAAGAACCCTGATGAGCACCAACTCCTAACTCAGCCTTTGGCAGAGGAAGGCATTTTCCAAACATGGGGCATTTATGCTAATACCTGAAGGATGAATAAGAATAACCTAGAGGAAGGGGAGAAAAGAAGTGGTAATAGTAAAGAGAACAATTTCCAGGCAGAGGGAACAGCCTGTGCAAAGGTCCAAAAACAACATGGCAAAAAAAATGTACAAGTGGGCAAACAGCAGATGACTCAGTAGATGCCTTGTTAGACTAAGGAATTTGAAATTTATTCTGAGGACTACTAGGAGCCACTGAAGCGCAAAGTAAGGGCCCGACTTTAAGAAAGACTCCTGACTTCAGTGTGGAGAATGGACTAGGAGAGTAAGCTGAGAAGCAGGGATTGCTGCTCAGACGTAAGATGGCACTTGGACCTGGGTGGTGCAGATGGGGAGAGGCGAATGGTCTCAGTAGCTATAATGGGAGTAAAATGGATTTTTTGAGAGGAAGGAGGGGCCAACAATGACTCATGTTTTGGGCTTGGATGGGAGTATTCAGAGCCAGGAGAGGGGAAGTGCTGGTTTTTCAGGAGAGTTAGCGATGGGCATGATGGGTTTGAACTGCTTGTAGAACACTCAGAGTTTTCGAAAAGTCAGGAGCTGGTTAGGAGCCCAAGTATGATATTTTGGAAAGAGGTTTGGACTCAAGCTATAGATGGTCATCAGCAGCACACAGACGGTCACTGAAGCTACGGGAGTGAGTGGTGGTATTGAGGGGGGAAAGCTGGACAGTAACATTCATGCACCAGACTAGAAGAGAGCCTCAGAGGAGACTGAGAAGCCTGAGAGGGAAGCAAAGGAGGACACAGAGTGGTCAGCTGTCTTATACTTTCTATATATGTCAAATAAGAAGACTGAGAAATGCCTATTAGACTTAGCTGGTGACTGCAAGCTCAGGGCAGTTCAAGGGATAAGTCTTGGTTGGAAAAGCTACGGCGAACATTGAGACGTGGATTCACATATTGCAGGACTGTGTGCGAGGCTGTCTGCTAGTGACTTCCACGTGCTACATTATTCAGTTCTCGTGGGAATCCTTAAGCATTAGCCCCATTTTCAAAAGAAATCAAGACTCAGAATGGTAAAATTTAGTGCCTAAAGTCACACTGCTACTAAGTAGTAGGAATGAACCCTGCATCTATCTAGAAATCAAGTCGGAGTCCTTTCCATTACTTCATCCTTCTGTGTCCAGATCCTGCAATGTAGGATAGCTGTATTTTTTATCTAGTTCAACAAATGTTTGAGTGCTTACTGTGTGCTAGGCACTGTTCAAGGGATACAGCAGTGAGTGAATAAGTAGTCCA